TACTTTTTATAAGGGCAGGTAGTGATAGAACTAGGGGAAACAGCTTTAAGCTGGAAGAGGGTAAGTTTAGATTAGATATTAGGAAGAAATTCTTCACTGTGAGGGTGGTCAGACACTGGAACAGGTTGCCCAGAGATGTTGTGGATGCCCCCTCCCTGGAAGTGTTCAAGGCCAGGTTGGAACTGGATGATATTTAAGGTCCTTTCCAACCCAAACCATTCTATGATTCTATTATGTTACACACCTTAAGGTCAGAAATATCCCCCTCAGGCGAGTTCTTTCAAGTGCCTTAGAGAAACTAGTGAGAACAGCTGGTTTTTAAAAAAACTATTTTTTGAAAGAAATTAACCAGTAGAGAGCAGTACATATAAGTACTAAAGTTCTCCTCCATACAACCGAGCACCAGTTTCCTTTTCTACCAAGACTAAGTGGCTGACAATGCATCTGCTTTATGGCTCAGCAACTACAATCTTTACCAACCATAGGTTAGAGGAACTCTTGCCCAAGACGGTGCTTTTTTAAATTAAAATAAAGTTACCTAAGAATATTTGATTGCATTAGTAATTTATATGAAATCATATCTTAACTCTTTATTAAAAATAGGAAATAATCACACTGAAAAGAGGATTATTCTAAATTGATTGTGCAAATATACTCACCAATGATACTCGTTCCTTCAGCTGTGTTGTATTACGTATGGATAGCTACTACCCCAGACAGACAACTGCTGCAGAATGAGGTATTTTTGTCTTTATATAGTAACATGGTTGGTGGAGACAACATTCTCTGACCCGAGCTCAGGCACAGCATACCGAATCACATGTTATTTAGGAGGCATGACTGTGTGGTAAAAACATGACAGTTGTGATCCATTCTATTTAATGTAATTGAGGAACAGCTTTCATAGTTTTCTCAGTTGTGTTTTATTTGGGAAATACTTTAAATGTTCTTGGAATAAAAGGTAAAAGGTAAAAGAAATCTACATAGCGATTATAAATTAAGACCAACTTTTATTTACATAGTTTAACAAACAGATTCAAGCAATTATTACATTAGTCATTCAGATTCTGAACATCACTATAAACAAGTTTATAGCTAGTGTTGCATTCTTCATGGAGCTGTGATTAATTTCCAACATTTTTCTTTTTCCAACGAAGCCTCCTCAGAGCTCTCTCCAGTGCTACTTGTCCCATGAGGAATGTGATAGTAAAGTTACGTTTATACCAATCTCTAGGATTCCAAAGCCAGGAAAATCATCAGCACACAGAGTAAGAACAGGAAAAGGGTACACAATTATATAAAAATATCCTTTGGCACTGACAAATGACAATTCAGTGATGACCTGCATTTTCTATTCTTTGTGACAACACTTTTCCTGCCTAATGAGAGCTAAATAACCTATGAAAAGGTCTGTGGGAATATCCACACCCATAAACAGATGACATGGGGACTACAGGGCTACAACCACTGAGAGCTTAACAGTGAAAAAGTGAAGGGATGGGTACTTTTATGACCAACTGTATTTGATATCAGGTAAGATAAAATAATTGTAACCATATCTCATGTTTCAGAAGTAAAGCTGATCATCAAGAAGATGATATCTAGATATCTAGAAGAATTTCCTGACAGTGCTGTGCTATGGGTAAGATTTGTTTGTGCATGTATGAAGAGGTGTGTGTTAGAAAGGGCATAGTTGGTCACTTGTCAGGGTGGGAAAAAATAAAATAATATCACACTTCAAAGACTAATTGTATAACCCAGTGCAGGAAACCTTATGTTTCTAATGCAGTACCTTTTAAAGATGATGCCTTTAATATTGCCAAAGTTATTCTTTATGTATTTAAATAGTTTTAATGAAGCATGCATGGCTTCTGGAGCCAATTCAAGTTATAGATAGGACAGTCTGTATCAGCCCTTTTTAACCTCGGAGAACTTGTTTCAAATTCTTGCCCCTGTTAAAAACTAAAATAGTATCATAATTTCTCTTCTGTTTTCAACAAGGAACCCTCCCCAATTTTGTAAAATTCTGCACAAGAAGCAATAGAACATACTTATTGGAGAACTAGCAGGGAATATTAAACACTGGCATTTAGGTCTTGAGATCTCTGTGGGAAACCTTGCATGTACAGATCTAACATAAACCTGAGATACTAACCTCTCAGTAAGGATAGCAGCCAAAATCATGCTGACAAGCAGCACTGAGCTACCCCCTCAAATGTCATGTTAAATCAAAATATCATGCTAACATTGCAACTGTTTCTTTTCCCCTTTCACATCTCATTTCCTATATCCTTCTCAATTTTTTTTTCCTAAACTAGACTGTTATTTCCAGTCTAAGTACCCTGAACTAAATATTCATGGCATCTATGCACAGTCATTGCTTCAATTTTAAAGAAATTTTAGAAGTTGCAACACTTCAGCAGACACAGTTTTCAGACCAGCTGGCAACACTGCCAAAGAACATACAGCTGAATGCATGAACAGATTTTTATAAAAATGACCCCTCAAGATCAGAGTGCCTGTAAAAGCTCCACTGCTTTCAGGGCCATGCAGTTCCAGTTTGAAACTACAATGATGCAGCTGACACTACCTGATTCTACAAGGCAGCAACAAGGAAGGTCATGTTTAAGCACAAAGCCTGAACTCTCTTACTGTGAAGACAGGATACTATTCCAACAGTTCTAAGATAAACTATTTGCTTTCTCACTCATCAGTTATAGGCAATTTGAACAACAATCCTCTTATTAAAAAACAATTTTTTTACTTTCCATCTTTTCATGCCATTGCTTAGGTTTTCGATGAGGCTCCCCCCTCAGCCCCTCCATGGGCAAGGCAAGATGTGCATATTTGTTTTAAATATTTGTTACAGTAAAATTGTTCTTATAGTATAGTGTGTTATGGTGTATGCACAAAATGTACAAAGAATCCTAAACCACAATTTATAGCAATGTATAGCACTAGCATTACACCATTAGGAACCCAGTAACACCTGCCACCTTTAAGCTCAATAACCTTTCAGTCCAATACAGAGAAGAAATGGAAGTTGTGGTTTCATATTCAGCAGGCAGTGCCACTGTGACTGCATTAAGCACTATCCTCCTCCAGCTTCCCATTCCTTCCTCATCTCTAGCCCTATACCATGTGTGCACAGCTACCTGCAGGGTAATGTGCATTCACAAGCTGTTTTTCTGTTGTTTCAGATCCCAAATCCAGTTTACCAAGTTGCTGTACAAATAGTAACACTGAAAGAATGCAGCAGGTGTGAGGAGGCATGGGGGATGTGGGCTTACCCAGTTGTTGCTGAGGTTCTATACAGGATGAGTTCTGGTGATCATTTTACTAATGCTTTGGCACACAAAAAAACCTCACGCTCGAGGCTAATCACTTTCATTTCTACTATATACTTACAAAATAATAAAGCCAAGAATACTGAATATTATTCTCATTAAACAATTTTCCTTTGAGATTAATCACATTTACTAGTCCTTATTTAACAGTCAACTAAATCTGTTATATAGAAATATGTTTCAGTTAGCAGCATGAAAAGACCCATGCCATAAGAGAAAAAAATTGAATGCCTGATCTTGTCTCTCTGAATCTGAGACATGAGATTCATCTCTCCACTAAATCAACAATAAGCAGTAGAACTCAAATGATAATGCAAATTTCTGCCAAATGCTAATAACAGCATTCAGAAAAAAATTCTAAAATTATAGTTTTAGATGCTGCTTTACCAATTATGCAAAAAAAAGTTCATATTTTACATTTGATCTTACACCTTTCACTTAATGTATAATAGCCAACAAAAATACCTTCTACATACCTGTTATACTGCATATGCTTTCTAAAATTTTTACTTAGAAAGTCCTTGTAAAAGTCAGCCATTTCCTCTGCATTCAGTGTTGCTTTCTGACCTGAAAATAAGTTTTGGCATAACAATGTCAAGATATTTTTTTTATTAAAACACTAGGTTCAGATGCAGGAGAACTAGGTCTGACCCCTTGCTCCTACACAACCCTGAACAAGTTAATATGCTTTTATCTTCCAACTTTTTAAAACTTACCTAGGGAGCATAGCAGATTAAAAAACACTGATCATCCTGAAGCTGCCATAACTCTTAAGCCCTTATTACTTGTGAAAGCAATTACGTTTATCAGGTCTTAGATTATTTAGCGAAGTAGTAGACCCCTACAAAAAGTCCATAGATCTAGGAGTATGTATCCTTTGAGTAAAATTAATCTCTCATGGGGCTGAAGTCTAAACAGCACTAGTAAGAGCACTTAGCAACTTAAATTCCTACCCCTAAAGTATGTCAATAAATATAGAAAGAACACTATCCATGACTGACATGATATTTTCAGATGTACATTTTTTTCTGTTGCTGTTGATAAATTTCAAGTAACTTATACCAAAGAGTATATGTTCTGAGATGTAAGATTTATTAACAATATAGCAGGCAATTATTTTGTGAAGAAGCAAGTACAAAAGATTACTTTGAATATGCCACTCTCACAAGCAGAATGTAAGAGGAGATGGATTCTCTACACAGAACACGAAAGGAAAACCTTTGGCTACAGCACAGATGTAGAATCCTGAGAACCAGCAAATATTCTCAACTCTACCAGATAATTCCTGGTACTTTCAATGTTTCTAAAATAAAGGTCAAATTTGAATGTCCCAGGGGACACGGATATGATGAGGGACGTGGAATTGTGATACTCAACTTGTTACTGTTCCAAGATGCATTTTAAAGCTCCTGAGTCTGATCATAGAAATGTAAATTATTGGTCAGTTCTATTTGTCATTATGTACAAGTCTAATATATTAAAATGGATTAACATACTATGGGATAAATGTACTCGAAGATTATTTGAAGGCTGCCTACTCAGCACTTACAGTTAATTTGTTTCTTCATACTAGTATCAGCAGAACTGATCCTAGATTCACTTACACAAAAAAGTAAGTTTTGCTCCAACCATTCATGTATATTGTTATTACGCTTATTTTTATAGACACATGCAGCTGTATTATAGAACAGAGTTAATCAACACATGCAGACAAGATGTTTTTTTCTAAGAGATGCACACGCTTACTATTTTTTCTTTTATTTCTAGGGTATAAAAACAAAACAAAACGGCAATATAAAAGAAGCATTTTCTAAACAACACAGAATTTAATTAAACTTATTTCTCAACCACACACTGATCGCCAGGATACAAACAGAAGAGAAAAATAATGGCCTGCAATATACAGAACGTCAGAGCAGATGCTTTACTAAACTCAGACAGATCATTATTCCACGAACAAAACGTTCAACCTCATACTACAATGGCCAATTCACTGTTATTATTTATGAAGGCATCTTGTTTTCAGTTTCACATCATGAATTAGAGAAGCAACTATTTTACAGCAACTGTGCTCAGGCAAAGACAGGCAGACAGCAGCTGCTGTCTCCTCAGAAGCCGTCTTATTCTCCCTTAGGGAAAAATACTGTATTCATTGTATACGCTATGGACCTGAAGGCAGAGAGTGTGAATTTAGCCACCCAACCATAAACATGCACTTGAGGCAAATGCTCTGTATGTTCAGCTCAGCTAGCTCACTGGGTTAGGAGGTGTGAAAGGAAAAAGCCCCTTCCTCCTTAGACTACAGAATTATTACATTACTTGGCTAGGATTTTAGCACATTCCCCCCAGCTGCGAGGAAGGAATTGGGGGAAGAACAATGCAGGAGATGATCTGACCCCCACATTCCATCCCTGAAGAGCTCATCTCCTCTTTTTTATCAAGCTCCTGAAAACACTTCTAAACCTACCCTCAAGATTTACTTGTGACAGAACACAAAGAGCATAAACTAACAAAATTCTAAGTTAAACAGAATTCAGAATGCATCCTAAACTATAACCAAAGATCTCACTAACCTGTTTCATTTCTCATTTCCACACCCTTGGCTTTCAGTCTTGAATAAATAAATTCTTCTTTTTCCTAAAACATGTTTTTTGACATTAGAATCTGATGTCCTCAGTCCTTGAAGTTAACCATTGTTTTTAATTACATAGCAGTGTAGCACTTAATACCCTCTGAAATAACAAACAATACTCATTATGGAAATGTCAACAAAACATTTTCCCGAATCCAGTGAGTTAGTTAAACTGGTAACTTTGTCACTTAGATCCTGCTACCTGCATGCATCAATTAATTCAGGCAAGTATTCTACTGAAACATATAAAACTTGTATGTGGAGTAAAGTTACAGCTGAGCTTCAGTGTTGTTTGACAAGATCCAAACCTTCAGTTTGTAGGACAAATTATAGGAATATGTGCTGGATTGTATAACTGAGAACTTGAGCATTGAGAAAAATGGGCAGCCTTAAAAAATTGAAATTACTTAGATGAAAACAAAATAATTATTTGTAAATAAGTTTTTCAAACTTAAAAAGTAGTTCTGTGGAATTAAAAAACAAGCTTCAATTTTTCCTGTAAGATCTTTGCAAGTTTTGGGAAGATGTGATGATTGAAGTTCATCACAAATTATGGTGAATTATTAAACCACTACTGTTCTTCCAACAAAATTCACTGTCTCGTAACCAATACTGCAATCAGAAAATAAGACAGATCATGACTGAAAAGTCCCCCTTTTAGCCTTGTTGGGATACACTGCCAGTCAAACAGGGCACATGCCTCATTTATCCTTGGTGATTACAGCTAATTTCTCTCACTTCTGAGACAGCAAGAAGAGCTGCAGAGTCACTTTCAACAGCCTTTCTAGTCACAGACAGGTCTTGCATGTAGGGTGGTTACAACTTTATATTTTCAGTGCAAGACAGAAAAAAAGGCAAAGATCATTTTGTGCCACTAAACAGCAATAAAAGATGCAAGCTTTTTAGTTTTGTATGTCATTTTAAAGAATTTAATGACAAAAAAGTAATTTCCACAAAGACACTGTGTGTATTAAAAAAAACTGGATCTATTCCCAGCCAGTAACGGCAG